CTTATTGACAGCCCAACTTTAAGAAAATATTCTGTACTCGGAGATTAAGACAATGTGTAGCACAGGCATCTTTCCCTGACTTCACCAAAGGACAGAAGCCCTCTTGGCTTATGCAGTTGTGTGTTATTGCTTTTCATGTGTGCCCAGCTCACTGACAGTATTCGTTTGAGCCAGGAAACTCATTTTTTGTTTTTAGAGCTTTTTACTCTGGAGGATCCTGACATCAGTTGCTGATGTACTAGCCAAAATTGCTACTGTTGTATTGGGAATAACAGTAGAGGTGATGGTAGTATCCAGTAGCCGGTAAAAACAAAGACATGACATGAGCTACTGAAATCTGAGATAGACAGAAAGGACATTTCAGCACTCTCAGCCCTTGTTTGGGGCTTTCTAAGGGTGCAGACAGACTGCAGCCCTGCTACTAATTGGCCAAATGACAACATGGAGCAAAGCACTCTCCACAATGGACATCTTTCAAAACGTATTGTGAAATGAGAAAGACATAATACAGGATAATTGGATTGAATTTTTGCAAGGAAGAATCAGTGGAACTTTTTAAATCACTACACTTTTAAAAAAGTTCTTTTCTTTGATGTGGCTTTTATTATGAAGGTATTGCCTAGAAGGAATGACTGAGGCAGGAAAACAATCTGTAAGATTGGTAATATGAGAAGGACCAGGAGGGATATGAAAAGGATAGAAGATGCAGTGCTGCTAAGTTGAAAACTCTCTGAGAATAGGAGGAGACCCATTTTTGCCTCAATGCACACAATTAAGCACAATGTTTTTGTTGGACCAATGCCTAAAGAACATAAGTGAGAAGACATATGATTCATTGAAGTACATTAGTCAGGCAGACAAACTTATTTTGAAGACTTCCATGTAGATATCATGACTGTTATTGTAAGAAAATACTTTCTGGATTGTTTAAAATATTTCATCTTTCTCATTGTATTTTACACATTGCAATTTGCTTGGTAATATGATGTCCTTACGGTAATTTTGGTACAATATTGCACTTCAGCAAAGAAAATACAACTGAGTTTTGACACTATGGCTGTTATTTCTAACTGCTCACACCTGCTGATAGAATTTTTTATTCTTTTAATGTATATATATGTCTGTGTTTATTATATATACACACAATAAACGTTTATATTGACAAATACATTTTTTATATTCTAACAATTTGGGAAGGTTACAAAATGTAATGATTAGAAAGGTCCCTAATAATTCAAGATAAATACATGGAAACAGAGGAAATTATTTTTTTAGCAAAAGAGATGCTTAAACTGACTTGTACTGCTTAACTAGGCCAGACTTCATTACAAATAACCTTGAAAGGTTATTTGATATTTAGACATCTTGCCATTTCCTTGAAGTAATTCTTATAGACCAAAGTTTGTCTATATGTAATTTGCAGGATCAGAGCCCTCCAAATTTAATTAAGGATCCTTGAGTTTTCAACTTCAGATATGAAGTAATAATCTACCTTTTACTCTCATTAGACACCTTTTTCAAGAATTGATATAGTTTCTTAAAGTTCACTGTAATGTTGCACCAGCAATATTTGACATATTTCTCATGCTTCATCACTGACTGGGTCACACGTTAGCTGACAGTGACTTGTCTTCACAGTGCTAGGGTTAATTCTGTGTATCAAACATGGAGACTATGATGTGAGAAGCAAACTTGGAAACTATGATGAAAGAAGAAAGTAAGCTCTTTCTTAAGGTATTCTTCTAATGTGTTCTTTTGTAATCATAAAAAGAAACAGAATTTAATTTAAATCCCTTGATTCCCATCAGCTGCTGTAGATGTAGGGTTTCACCTGTAACCTCTGCTCGTAACTCATCTGAGCGCAACTTCTAGCACAACTTGGTAAGGTAATATATAAACATGTATATATTATCTTCTTGGTTTTTGCAACTGTTGAACTCTGAAGTGTTCCAGAAGGAGACCCCTTCTCACCTTTCTGAAGGGGTACAGTCTCTTCATTTAGTTAAGCATCATGGTTGGCACCAAAAAGTAGGACTAACTTTCACTGTCTTTCACTCTTCTGCTCTCTCTCAATATTTCTTAATTCTGCATGGAAGTTGGGAATAATTGCATTTTATGATCTATCTTATTTTTGTATTTAACCTACAAGTAAATACCATTTAAGTAATGAGTTTTATAATCTACAAGTAAATGCCATTTAAGCAGTGAGGATTATTTTAGTTCTCTTATGGCTGCAAGAAATGACTCAGTGAGGTACCATATTTTATGTTGCTGTGCTGAAAAAGACATTTATGGATATATTTCCATTTCTTTCATCTTACTCTTGCAAGGAAAGATAATGACAAACCTTTTTTTTTTTTTTAGGGTTCCAGTTCAGTTGTAAAAGTTCAGCATAAGCTGATTTGGAGCTGGTTAAATGCTTAGGAGCAATCTGTCTGCTCTCACATAGGACTACCATTAACATGGCAGCTACAGTTATATTGAAACAAGCTCAGATGGCTTCATGTCCCCACACAGGATGGAGATTTAAACTTTGAAATAAAAAATGCATAAAGATCTTCTTTAAGCAGAGGCTGGGTAAACTGGCAGCACTCTGTGGGAAATGAGTAATGGACCACACTGCTTAGCAGCCATCGTACTTGTAAATTTGAGCAACGTGTTTCTGCTTTGGAGCAGTTTCATTCATATATTTCAGAACACTGAAAAGGTCATCAATTTCTCCGTGGGGCCTCATTGTATATTCCTTATGCATCCAACACTCTGCTTGAGTTGAGGTTTGTGGAGCTGTAGCTGTGAGAATTTGGAGGGAAGAGAACTATGGATGCAGGAGACAAACCTGGGGTGCTCCGCCAACAATTCTGTGAAGAAAGTTGAGCTGTGTATCAAACTAGTATCAACATTCATAATTCAGTATTAAGGACCATGTTCTGACTACCTTTCTAATATTTGAAGAATGACATTATTAGTTAGGGAGAACAAGTGCAGTCAGAATCTGGAGCTGACTGATAATTAAATTTGACTAGAAACTGTAAAAATAGTTGACATGATAGTGACATGAGGATGTACTGTGTAATGTCATTTTTAATATACCATTGTAACTTGACACTGGTCCTTCAGTTGAATAATAATTAACATCTCTTGACTGTTTGTATTTGGCTTACAGTATGTCTCAATGTTATGTGTTGGGAATTGTAAAAGGTGCATGATTGTGCTGTTTCTGTTCAAGTTGTTTCTAATTAATAACTTCACTGTCCAGTGTTCTTTCAATAAGGGTACCTAATACAATAGTTACATTATTTTAGGTGTAGAGAAACTGGCTTTTCAACCAAACTGAATGATGCATCTCAATATACAAGAGCGTATGCATGTGTGTATATCTGTGCATGAATACACATACATATATATGCATTTATTGGTTTAGACAAGGTCTCTCACTTCTTTCCTACTCACCTTGAGCTTCTGAAATCTCAGGCATCTGGAAGGAATCATGACTTTTCACGAAAGCTGAAAGTCATAAATCTCGAGATTAATTAATATACACTCTTACTGTGTTATTCACTAGAACTTCCTCTCTCCCCAAAATTCAGCACGTTAAATAACATTAAATAAAGGTCTAATGACTAACAGATGTCAGATAATGCAGGATTCTTCTACCTGCACGAGTGGCTTAGTGAGTCGAGTGACTGCGTCGTTTTATCCCTTTGAGCCTTTGAATTTTTAGCCACTAAATTACATAGGTGTTTTTTTTCTTCTTCTGGTTCCACAATAGAAAGCATTTACCTTTCTTTTATGTTCTAAGTATCTGCTATTGTTTCATGCCAGAAACAAAATACTGACCTTTGTGGGTCCTTGGGCTGACGCAGCATAGTTGCTTTCCATTTGTTCAATTCTCTAGTAGCTAAATTTTGACTATTTTTCTAGAGTCTTAATAATTTCTCTTTCAAGTAAGAAAGGAGTTGAAGTTCAGCAGTAAAAATATAAGGAATTTTTCAGGTTGTTAACTTACTAAATGGAAGACTATCTTTCTTATAAGTGTTTAAATAATTAGAGAAGAAATTAACTCTGAATGTTCATACTAATGCCAGTGGGTTTTGTATAAGGTTTTATCTTATACTTCAAATACTATTCTTAAAATGCATTTGCAACATAAAATAAATGAAGAAAAGTTGGTATTAACTCTTTGAATAATAAAGATACTTTCAATGTAATACATAAATCTTAATAGCAATGCACATACAAATCTATTTTAGCTTAATGATATCAAGTAGCCAAAATATACTTGGAACTGTGACAGGATTTGTGAGCTTTCTCCTTTGAAAAGATGCTCCTGGCTTTGCATTTCAAACACTGCCTTTTGTAGCAGGTGGACAAAAGTAATCTTTTTTTTTTTTAAGAAAGCCAGCTAATTGCATGTCTGCCTCACATTCAGTTAAATCTTTGGTGATGGGCTTTGAAGAGAGTGTTTTATGTTTTGCTTTCTTTTGTTTGGGCTTTGGTTTTGGTTTGGGAGTTTTTGGTTTGTTTTTTACTGTCAGTCTTTGCTGAGAAGTTCCTGATACCACTGTTAAAAGTCAACTGTTCTCTGAAGGAAGCTTTGACAAAATCTCTATTTTGAAATAGAAACTGGAAAAGTGCAAAGCTACTGGGAGGACAGTGCCTTCCTCCCCGTTGCCTGAGAATTAATTTTTTTTTTATGCGAAAGCAAAGAAAGTCTTGATAGAAAAACTAATGGTAGCATGGTAGACTAAAACAACCTTATTCTGGTCTGAAAGTAATATACTGTTATACAGTAATATACTGTATTTATTGAATTGGGGTTGTTTGAGTATTTTTTCCATTGTTTTCCAAGCATCATTCTAAATACAGTTTTCTGTTTGGTCACTACGTGGATAATGTGAATGGTACCCATTATTGAAAGGTAGTCTGTATTTGTACTAATACAGAGAATGCCAGTTTAGAAATGAGCCTGATTGCATGGTTCATTTTGTTCTCCTTTGTAGAGCCAGGCTGCGGCCCACTACAAAGGCACTAAACATGCCAAGAAGCTCAAAGCACTGGAAGCCATGAAAAATAAGCAGAAATCTGTTACTACCAAGGACAGCGCAAAGACTACCTTCACTTCCATCACTACCAATACCATCAATACCAGCTCTGACAAAACAGGTTAAGCGACAATCTTTGTTGGTTTTGTTTGTTTGGGTTTTTTTCTTGTTTAATTCCATGTCTGTTTGGTTATGTGCTTGCCACATTGATTCATGCTCGATCCATCTTTCTGTGTGATGTTCATTTCTTTTAGTCCTTTCAGTAGGCTGGTAAGAGTATGATAGTCATGTAACCAATTTCTCTTAGTGAAAAGAGGCTTGTCATTGTTTTAGGGCAGAATGCAATACTCATGACTTGATTAATTTTTATAGTGGCTAAACTATTACATATCAACTGATCTAAACCTTCTAGTCTGTATGCAGTATCCCTCTATAAATAATTACATACGGCACATTTCTTTTAACCACAAAAAATGTAGTAAATTGCACTACTTGTGTCTAGAAGCCTCTTACAAAAGCATTGTTAGTTAAAACCTAATTTTCATAAATTTCAAACATTGCATTATTTTTTTACAATGGCTATTGCATGGTTTTGAGCTGGAAAATAGCCGTATAACTTCTATTCCGCACAATCAGGTAAGTGTTATTGATGCCAATTATTCTGCTTAAATGAGTCTTCAGACTGAAATAATATCGTTTAAATTATTGTGTGGGTAAAAGATACGCCTTTGCAAATAAAATCTATGTAAGTATTTGGTAAAGTCAACAGGATTTGATTAAGCTCGCATTTTAAATATGTGGCTATTGTACTGGAAATTTCAAAGGAAGGTTGTAAGTTCACTGAAGGGTAGTCTAGTATCGCACAAGGTATGACTGGTCTTGTGTATGAAGGAATACAGTTTGCATATTTAATCATAATCAACCCCCCTTCCCCAAACAAGCCAAAAACAGCCACGGCAAAAAAGCCAAAGCTGTGAAACAACAGAGACCTTTCTACTGATGGTGAAAACTGCTCATTTGGGACCACTTCTGATGCAGTAAGTTTAGCATTGTAAATGGATGTGCACTAGCCATTACAGTATAACAAAAAAGTACCTTGCAGACATGTGTAGTACTTTCCTTAAGATACATCTTTGCTATATTTGTTATAGACAGATACCTCTATGTCTGTCTCTCTGTATATGTATCTTTGTTATAACCCTTTATTATAGGCAGCATATGTTTTTATGGCGGTTTATATCCTAATTATAATGGGATGGCTTTAAAAAACAATCATTACATTATTTTCGTGTTTATTAGGAAAAAAAAAAAAAAGAAAGAAAATATTCCGAGTACTTTTGTTTCTATGATGAAAGAAATGAAGGATGGGAGAATAGGAACAATGTCGAAAGTTATTTATGAAAATATATATGTTCCTAAACATACAAATACCTTTAAAAGTTTTTCCTGCTGTTACCTGTTGGCACGTTCAGAACAGAAAGGGGGATGTTGTATGGAAAGAGTGATTTATTGTTCACAAAATATGATCTAGTGGTTGGAGAAAATAACTGAAGGAAAGAGAGATCTTTTTAAGCTTTAAAATGTATTATTCAAAAGCTTTTATGTTATGCTGTGTAAGTTTGAAGGATTTTCCAAGGTGCCCTAAAACCAGTCTGAGTCTTTCCATCAGGCTTTGAATTAGATCCCTGACAAGATATATGAACTGTCTTGTATCCAAGGTCAGTAGTACAAACCAGTTTTTATATCAGCATAAGTAAGAAAACATCAGAAATCTAGTTGGACACAAAAGCAATGCCCTATGCAGGAGTTTCGTCAGCATTACACATTGTTTGTGACTTCCTGGATCAATTTCATAGAACGTGTGTATACATATATGTATGTACATATACACATATATGTATTCTATATTAGAAGTACTGACCTTAATGACATTCTAAAAGACACATATTGATGTTAATTGACAAACAGCCCAAAATCTGACAATTTCACAAAATACTGAAAGCCATATTCAACTGCTGGCAAAAACCCTATTCAACCGGTGGCATCCACAGAAAGGGGGCCAGTTCTATCCAAATGCAGTTATTACAGCTCAGCATTGATGTGACTGGCGGTAGAATGCCAGTCATGCTTGGTGTAAATTATCCTTTGTAGAATCAAGCATGTATGCATAGCAGGAGGGAAGGAGAAAAAGAAAAAAAAAAAAAAAGAAAATTTTGGGTAGCCAAAAGGATGAAATTTTCTGTTAAACATGACAAGTTAATAATTTCATAAATTGGATTTTCTTTCCTTTCCAGTTATTCTGTGTCTTATATTTGCTTGATAGAACTTTTAAGGGCAAAATGATTTCTGAAAGCCAGAATAACATCAGAATATACTGCACTGTGTGAGTTTGCACATTTGTAAATGATCACTGCAAAAGTCAAATATTCTGATAGTAATATGCAGTTCTGAGGGAACAGTTGTACTAATGAATATAATTCATTAATTAATCTTTCATAACTACAAATAAGTTCTGTTACTAAGTCCCTGCACTTGTGATCATTCGGAACAAAAGCTTTTTCTACACTATTTTAAAGCGCTCTGCTGAGGATTAATACTTGGTCCCAAATACACTGAGGATAGGGTCATGTTCATATCACCTCCAATATATCATGTACAGCAGTGGTTAAATGGTGAATTACATGTCAGTCACAGCACATTGCTCAGAACTTCAGTTCACTGGTTCTGTGTACCCTTAGCAGCTCCAGCAAACAAAATGTCATCAGGAAATCTGCAGTGCTATGCAATGAAGATTATGAAAAAGACCACACAGTATACAAACCGATTCAAGAGCTAAAGCAGCAATTTGTTATGTTGCTTATTCTGGAACTATTTTGTTAGACATGGTGCCAGCATGTGTTATTGCAATAAATAATGGAGACTGTGCAACCCACAATGTAAGCGGACTCCTTAAAACCTTTCATAAATGATTCTTGGTGGTTAAACTATGTATTAAGGAGAAAACATAAAATATGGGGTCATTTTGCTCATTCTGTGAAAGTCACTGGGTTTTTTTACCCCTTTAAACAACATTTTAGAATTATTAGAAGGCTTGAACTTGAGAAAACTTTGGGGGAATGAAATATCATGAGGAATTATGTTGGCAGTCACATAATGGACAATGCCATTCTCAACGCGTGGGAACTTTGTTACCAGTTCTATTATTTAACGTCCTTCTGTCATCTGTATTTATCATTTATTATGTGATACCCGTAGTCACTCAGGACAGAAAAACAGAAAGCGTGACCATTCCAAAGACAAGCCCACTTTATGGTAGTATACAAGCCAGTTTTCAGTACTTCTTGATTCTCCAATTCAGGGGTGACAATAAAAATTCGTATTTTCACCATATGTTAATATACATGCGTACATATTCCCTGACATAAAGTTGTTAAACATCCTTGATAGCTTTACAGATTGCCCCTCCTTTCTGCCAAGGTATATTTTCCTTATAAAGATGCTTCACACCTTCACTTTGGCTGTAAGGACAGATACTTTGGAACACCTTTCAGAATATATTTAGATAGACTGTGTTCTATCATCCTAACTATGTGTCCCGTCCAGTAAAGTCATTATCCCACACTTGGATTTTTCTACTCTAGAGTGAGTGTCCTAGATTATATCCCTGTAAAATGATATCCCTATAGTTGTTGCATATGTCTAAATATTGATCTTTTCCAAAGCTATTCGAAGTTAAAAAGGACTCTTCATGACCACTTTATCACAAATTAGGTCTTGAAGATTTGGGCTGGTTTTATTTATTTATTTATTCAGCAGAGAATTCAGCATGAGTTAGGTCATTTATCAACGGAGAAGAAGGAATAGACCTTTCCAAGGGGGGAAGACATGTCATTGGGAGCCATCACTATGGCAAAGTCTTTAATGTTGCTTTTGAATGTTATACACTATTTCTTAAATCCTATGTACTGAAATTCAATGAACAGCTCTTAAAAACAGAGAAAAATGTGATGAACAGAAAAAGTGTGTATCTGGGCCAAGGCACAGACAAGATCATCTATCATTAGTACAGTCTTAACAGCTAAGAGACCCCCGTGCTGTCAGAGAACAAAATACTGGCGCCTGTCCTAAAGAGCTTACAGTCTACGTGTAAGATGAGAGAGAACTTAGGGAGATAGACACTGTTAATGTAATAGGCAGGTGTTTTAAAAGAGCAGTAGCATAAACATGTTCAAGTGATAAAGGCATCACAAGAAATGAAAACACTGAAGGATGGATTAGAAGGAAAAGGAGGAGGGGGTTTTTTTCCGATACTGAACGTATGTGTGGGTAACAGCATGGGAGAAAGCATAAGTTCTCTTATTTTTCTTTCACTAGCACATATGAAAATTCTTCTCTGTGGGAAAATTTTAGTTGTGCTACCCCTTTCCAGTCCTTTATTTATTTTTTTTTTCCTTTTTCTTTTTACCTAAGAAGTGGTAGGATATTTCTGGTCAGCAGATGAAACTCACTCCTGAAATAACAATTTCAGTCCAGCTGAGATCTGAAATGGAGAGCAGGTGGAGTGGGAGAGAGCAGTCAGTCTGGCAAGGTCTTGGGCATAAAAACGGAAGGTAGGAAGGAGAAAGAAATCAGAAATGATGTGGTAAGTCAGGGTAAACTTTGAAGGAGGAAGAAAGGAAGCTGGCATGAAATGGAGAGGTTCAGGAAGATATGTTGGAGTTTGGCAGCCATAAATACCACAGGATCACAGAATTTTTGAGGTTCTGTGAAGGGACCTCAGAAGGCACATCTGGAGATTGACAAGGCCACCCCTACAAGTCAGAGCAGAGTCAGCTAGAGCAGAATGTTCAGTATCTTTTTCAGCTGAGTTTTGAGTATCTTCACAACCTTTTGCTGGGGAACCCATTCTAGTGTTTGATCATCCTCAGAGTAAAGAAGAGTAAAGAAGTTTTTTCTTGTATTTAAGTCCAATCTCCTGTATTTCAGTTTGTGCCTGTTGTGTCTTGTCCTGTCACTGGGAACCACTGAAAAGAGTCTCTGGCTCTGTCTTTTTTTACTCCCTGCCCCCATCAGGTATTTATACACACTGCTGGCTTATGTTTCAAGTGGTTCTTGGGACCA